CACCTCGCGTGTTTTGTCTTCTTTTACCGCCCTGCCTTGCCATCGTTCCACATCCGACCTTTTTGAAGGTTAAGGCCTTAATTTCAGCGATCCCAAAGACTTCTCTAGTTTTCTTTTCCACTTTTATGCCATTCTGCAGCTCAGTTATCATCACGAAGCGCTCTTATCACCAGTTTTATCCCTGAGCTTGCCTTTAAGAAGTTTTTCTTCATTCCTTTTTTGGTATTCATAAGGCCGCTCAAGGGATGCAAAAAAAAACTGTTTCGAGAAAGCTGGGCATTTCCTGGAAAACCTCCCTGGTTAGCCAGGTGGAATGTGTCTTCGAAAAGTGCAGCCAATTTCTCTATTAGTTATCATTGTTCAGGTTGGTTTTCATGCAGCTTATGCTATTTTCAATGTAAGATTCACGTGTGGCTCCAGGAATTTTTATTCGTTTGGATATGGTGCACAAATACACTCGACATTATTTTAAATACATTAACTATGTATTCGTCCTATACACTGTTAACTGGACCGCGCTACCACTTTGTTCGCTTTGATGGTAGGCCGCATAATCTGAAAATGCATATCTTACTCATCGAAATAGCCAATTTTTAAATTAATCTCCCGAAGTCTCAAGCAAGAATCTCCACCTGGAATGAACAAACTAGTCCTTCATCGACATTCATCATGGCGGCAGCGTTGTCGAACTGTCCGCAGTAGTGAGGTGCAGAAAAGATGGTAACTAGGCGTTTATTAGCGAAGAACTCGTATCCATCTTGTACTACCTACAAAATCATAGGTGTTTCTATACCGCTGATGAGCGGAGCGAGAAATTCACCTGATGAGCTCTCGCTATGAGATCGATATCTAATATGGGCAACATTTCGTTAACCACGTCTTGTCCGAATACGTAAGATACTCCACGAGTATTCGATTGCCAACCCTGAACACAAAAATTGCACCTTGTTTTGCGAATTAACTTCTGCAGGGTGGGTGAGCCCGCCTTTCAACTCTACGCGGTGCGCGGTGCCTGCGTTTCTCTCGTCAGCCTGCTCTCTCGTTTTCAACCTCTTCTCTCGTCGCAACGTCCACTGTTTCTCCCAAAAACCCTAATTTCGAGTGCTTTCAGCGAATTCCTTTCACATTCTCTTCACTGGCGTTCTAATTAGCACCCCTACTTTGATTTCCAAGCACATAATCACACTTAGGCTGTCAAAGTAAGTGCCTTTAAGTCCTACGTAACAGTGAGTGGCGAAAAGGCACATTCACTGCGCTTTGTTCGCCTAAGGTGCTGACAGGGCCTTGAGGGACTTTTGTTTTAAGTGGGAATGTGGGAGAATACGCAGCTGCACAAAAGTAATTGAATCGATGGCAAACCTTGACGTAATGATCAGGATCACTCCACAAAAGATCAATATGTAATGATGGATTTGGTGGATCGATAGGGCGAGTGATTTGCCGAAGCTGGTCCAGTGATTTCAGCTAAAAAAATGGAATTCGTTTGCAATTAGTAGAATGCCTTTTAGCGGAAGAAAACAGGTACTATTGCAAAGAAGACCTGGTCGTTCGCCATCGCGCGCTCTATTTTCACGAGTTGCGGCCACATCTTTCGTCAATGTTAACAAGTGAGCGTCAATGTTAACCAGTGAACATTTACCTTGGGAGATAGTCCACCATGCATGCAAAGAATTTTTCCAGCCACAAGCCCTGTGAACGGCATTGCTGCGAATGCTTCCTGAAGAAAAAATCTGTTATCGGTAGGCACAATACAGAACTGGTGACCTAACATAAGACTCAAACTACCTGAAAACACAGCCAAAGACGGGTGCTATTGTAACGCCTGTTGCACTCTTCGAAAAAACCATACACTCGATTAATCGGGGCACATTCATGATTGCCGCGTAGAATGAAAAAATTACCAGGGTATTTGATCTGAATTTGTAAGGATTGAATTTAGAGCAACCTAGAATACTTCAAGAGCATTTTAGTCATGATTCGGAATTTTCGCCTTCTCAGGACAGTTAGTCACACCAAGACTCGCCTTGGTTTCATCCGCCTACCTACTTCCCACCTCGCTCGAATTATACCTGACCTTTCTAAAAAAATCACCGAAACGAGGGAGAGGTGTAGAATTCCGGGAATGTCCCAAAATCCTGCGGAAATTAATAGATATTTTCTCCGAGCCCAGCTATGTGAGCCTCATATGTACAGAAGATTTCCGTGAACCAGCTCACTGCATCCAGTGTCCCCTCCTCTCCTATCCCCCAGAACGTCACAATTCAATTCAAAGTTGAAAATAACTAGAAGAAGAACATGGACTCCTCTGAAGAGTCTTGGTTTACCTTGTAAGAAAAAAATAGCGCTATGCATTCGAGGTTCTGATGGCCACGATCTACGTAATCTCCAAGGAAAAGATAATTGACCATTGGTGGAAATCCACCTCTATCGAAGAGTCTTAGTACATCTGAAATAGCGTTCGTATTGTATGTACAGCTCGGCAATCTCCTCCAACTGAGCAACTTTTGAGGCAAACTTCGCTGATTAGTTGCTTCGCAAATAACCATGGAAGAATGTGACGATAGGTTCTCTAACTTCAGCTCATAAGCTCCAGGACGCTATCAACCCCTTCGGGTCTGGACGGGATGACCCAGCGTTGAGGATTCCGCGGAGGAACAAGGTAGGAGGGGATAAACATTCACTCGTAGAGGTACGTATAGAATCGGCAAGGTACCGAAAGGAGGGGAAGAAATTGAGAGAACGTGCAATACGCATCACGAAAAAATGAGCGGCAAAAAGGCAGGTTCAGAAGAAGGAAAAGTGAAGGAATCACAAGGAACAGTCAAGATTCATCTCTTACAAGATGTAACCAGGTGATGGAATCGTGAAAAAAAAACACTGAATCCGAGAAGAGGAATTTTTTGCTCCCAATGCGGAAATTGCTAGATTCGTGACTCCGCCCATTGACTTTGAACGAGTTTGCGGCTTAAATGCTCTCGTTTGGGGTTTAGGTTATGTTTCTTCGAAAAATATGACAGAAGGCAAGATTGCAAGCTATGATCGTATGGTGCCAAATGCACATTCAGAATGAAAATTTATGGTTAATGAAGCAATCACTCTG